AGGGGGGGTTCTCTCCGTCTCTTACCTTGCTGCATATGTTGAACAGACCTGCCAACCTTGCGGTACTCCTTCCTGAGGTCAGCCATTACAACACAATGGATTTAAAGGTATTTAAATGATGTAGCATATGGTGATGCCTGACCTCAGGTGGCAGGTGTCTGCTACAAAAAAATTCCCTTTCTCCTCTTGTAAAAGTGGACCAAGCCACTGAGTTACTGCTTCTTTTCATTGTCACCGTGTCTCCTGCGGTTTTATTAAGGTCATTCCCGGTGGCCAAAAACAGGTCAGTGAGGATCAGAGCAAGTATATGTGCTTTGACTAACTTGTCTCTGCAAATAATGGCAATGCATGAGAAGGGGTTAAATGATTTTTACAGAATTGGTACCAAAGAGATATAAAAACATTACTGAGAACACACCTAAAGGCTCAGCGCGCGACGATTTAGAATGTCCGGGGAGGTTTCTGCCCCGGATCTTACAGATTGAAGGTATTGGTTCATGATGTTCCTGTCGAGAATACGTAACACAGATCCACTGGGCAAGCTTGGCAGTAAGCCTTAGGCCAATACCTACGCAACAGAAATCTGGTAAAATGCCCAGCAAAATTAGGAGGCTCTGACCAACACCGCAGCCTTCATGAAATGAACCAGATGAAATGCATTAATTACACAAAATGTAACTTGAAGATGTTTCGGGACTGGATTGACCCTGACACCATTTAGGCCTAATGGTCACGGTCATCATGCTGCTGATGAGTGCCTCCCCCCCCCCATGGTGATGCTCACTTCTGGCGATGGCAGCAGAGCCTGACCTCCGTTTCAGAAAGGCATTCTGGAGGTAAGCGGCGAGTGGGGTAGACCCACTGATTACAAACGCTCGGACGTCGTTCCATGTGCCACAAAGTGTCGATTATTCGCCTGCTAGCACGCCTAGTTGCTCATAATTGTTTCAGACATCGAACTTTTGCCGTACTTAAATCAAAATTTGCTTTTAATTTTGTTCTGCGCGGGTCAGTGGCGCAGCGAGGGTGCTAGAGCTGAGGGAACACTAGGGTGCAAAATTTTTTTCAGGGGGCACTGAAAATAATTATATAATTATAATATATTTTGTCCATTTTAGAATTTCATATGGGGGGCACCCGGGGGGCTCGGGCCTCGGTTGGGGGCACGTTCCCCCCCCCCCGCCCCTCCGTAGTTACGCGACTGGCGTGGGTATAGAACGCCTGTCAGAAACGGCGGGCTGAATTAGTCTGTTTTGACCCGTTGCCTATATTGTGTGTAATATAGATTTTTAAATTGAACTATATGACGGATTATGGATAAGGTCAGTGTCGGCATAATGCTGACCGTATAAAACAGTATGCATACAATAATGTCACACCAAGCATTACAAAGCCAGAATCGGCGGGGTCATTTGACATGTATTTGCTGGGGCATCTGTGAAGCGAGGAACGGGACAGAGTGACACCCCACCCTCCCCGTTTTTGTTGGCCATCGTTATACCGGAGTCTCAGGAATTCTTTTCAGACATCTATGGGGTGATGGTTTTGGGTTGCAATTGGTAGTGTGTAGAGGGTTTGGACACGGAGGGGGGGTTAATTCGTTTCATATCGTGCCGAGTATACAGGGCCATGTATATGGAACGCCAAAGAGGCAAAAACTTGGAGGCAACACATCGATCGTTCTTCAACATCGATCGATCGTTCCCCTACATCGATCGATCGTTCTTCAACATCGATCGATCGTACCCCTACATCGATCGATCGTTCCCCTACATCGATCGGTCGTTCTTTTGCATCGATCGGTCGTTCTTTTGCATCAATCGATCGTTCTTCAACATCCGATCGATCGTTCCCCTACATCGATCGATCGTTCCCTCCATCAATCGATCATTCCTCTACATCAATCGATCGATCTCTTTTGATCGATGAAGAAAGAGCGATGAAAAAGGAGCGATGACGAAAGTCCGATGAAGCTACATCGATGCCAATGTTTACGTAACCTCTTCCAGCACCAAATAACACGTGTTCCCTGTACCCATAGCCCACCAACACACATGGCCACCCGTGTTCAGTACCCGTAAGTCTGGTCCCGAGCCAATTGAGTTGTCAGATGGGTGTTTATATCTAGTTTCCTTGCAATTAAACCACTGAGAATATTTTCTATTTTCCCCTGGATGGGATGCCGGTTCAATATGGGTCGCTCCCTAGCCACTATGGGCACCTATTATAACTCCTAATGACTCGAATTTTATTTTCCACACTAATTGCATTCTGGCGGAACTATTCT